ATTATGAAAATAAAGGGTTACAATCATTTACCCTTCTAATTTGAGTAATTCTAGTTTCACACCTAAACTATTATTAATGAGTAATGTTACTTGTACATAATTATTTACAGTTTAATTTAAAAAGAATGGAGAAAACAGTTTAAAAACGAGAGCAAAAGGGACAAAAAGAGAGACAGCAAAATTAGTTTAATTTTAATACAATATCACATCATCAATCTTTAAATGATTATGTAGTCAAAAATACTTGTTGTGCAACATATTTGACAAATTCTTTTACAAATTGATACCGTGGAAATAAATTGAATTAAAATTGCTGAAATTTCTTCACCAATTGTGTTTATATAATCTGGATTAATGAGAAAAAGAAAGTGGAATTTTTTTATTTGTTTGGTGAGATTTTGATGGAATCACGCAACCATTCTGTACAAGTAACAATTACTCATTATTGATAAAGAACTTGACAAATCCTCTTTGCAGTCTTTCTTTTTTCATTTTTGGTCAATAATTCAACGCTTGTATAATTTATTGCCATTAAAATTGATTTTGATGCACCAAATTTCACCTGAGGAGATGAGAGAACCAAAATTAACCTTCTCCCCCTTTACCTTATATCTACAACTATAAAATCTGAGATAAAGAAATTGCAACAAACACAATTTGACTATAAAGTTTTAATTCTTTGATTTTATATTCGATAATGCAAGCTACAATACACATATATATACACTTCAACTAGCAGACAAAAAGAATCAAAACGGTTACAAAAGGGGATTGATTATTGCAAAGAGAATATCTATTAATTCTAACAAAATCCATGTGCAATCTAAACAAATCATCCAGCACGATATCTTCTAGGCTCTTCCATTGTACAATCAGCAATTTGGTGCAGATGAAACTGGAATAAATGACTGGGATGCCAGATCATTTGCTCATATCTTCAGTTCCCTCTTCTCGTGCCGCCCACAAGATGGAGAGTAGATATTTGCTACTCCCATCTTGTCCATATGAAGATAAAAACTTGTAGTACCTAAAGCTTTAGTTAGGATATCTGCAACCTGTGATCCAGTATGTACGTGTTCAGTAACTATTTCTCTAGCTTGTATTTTATCCCTAATGAGGTGACAATCTATTTCTATATGTTTGGTTCTCTCATGGAAGATGGGATTCGTGGTAATGTAAATGGCAGATTTATTGTCACCATATAAGATGGCTGCCTGAGTATGCTTAATTCGTAAATCCTTAAATAAGTATCTCAACCAGGTCAATTCACAACAAACACTTTCCATTGCTCTATATTCAGCTTCAGAAGAGGATCTTGACACTATATTCTGTTTCTTCTACTTCCAGGACACTAAGGATGATCCAATGAATATACAGTACCCCGTAACTGACCTCCTACTATCAGGACAACTCCCCTAATTTGAATCCGAGTATCCCTTTAGCTGCAATTCAGAGGTAGAAGGTAAAACAGCCCCTGTCCTGGGGTTCTTTTAATATATCTTAGTACTTTATGTGCTGCATTGAGGTGAGGTATTCTTGGCCGGTCCATAAATTGGCTCAATAGCTGATTTGAATAAGATATATCAGGTCTAGTGATGGTCAAATACAATAATCGTCCAATCAACCTTCTGTAGATGGATGGATCAG